TCTAACTCATTTAAGGATACACGGCGTGACTGGACTCACCCGACTCCTCATGCTGCAGACTCCAGCACTATCTGACCACCACTTCCCAGGAAATCCCATCATCTCCACTATGAAATCCCCAACATCATTGCCCTCCAAAATTCCACCTAGCTCTGTCCTACACCACAGTTCAGCCTGCGCATGTGGTGCAAACTGAATTCCTTCTTGTTGGAATGCTCCCCGGGAGCACGAACACACAGGCGATCTAAATGATTTATCACAAACACACACGCACCAGCCACTTTCTCAAGGCAACATCCCTCACGAAAAGGGCTTAATCAATCATTCCAAAACTGCCTACAGGAGGGCTGGACCACCTGAGTACTAGGGGACTCAATCCCGCGCACTCGCACCATACACCAACAAAAACACAAAATGCCTACCTTGCTATGATTTTAAAAATGTGAAACTTATTAACCAAACACAGATTTATCTTCATGAAAGTAATACGTATCAGTTGCAAACAGCCAGCTATACACAACGGAGCTAATTCGGCGGGGCAGAAACATCGAAAAAGAGAAAAAAACGCATGCTCGAAATCAAGAGAACTGAGCCCTGTAAACCGAACATCGCCATCTATCACTTTTGAATGAACATTAATTCAGTCCTATGAAAAATTTCAAAACGGAAATAAAACCAAATATGCGGGCCTGTTTCACTTTGTGCTAAGGAAAAAAAAACCCCCTCATGAAAATCACTTTTGCACCGGACACTTTCCAGAACCCCTGCGAGGAATAATCACGAAAAGTAAAAAGAACTAAGCCGTACAAGACAAAACATTCAGTACACATATACATGCATAAGTAAACCCCAATGAAATATTGAACCAATCGCTTTATGGAGGTTAGAAATGTTAATGCTATAAAACACATAACTGACAGGACATAAAAGACATCAAACTCTGACGTCAGAGAGTATGAGGGGGGATACGATTTTCAGACCTGTTACACAGAACTAAAATTTCCAGATTTATGTCACATAAAAATTTTGCCGCGTATATCCAAAAATTGTTTCAGAGCCGAAAATCAGTTCCATGTTAATCAATCAATCTGATCGGCCCGTTAAATGAGCAAGTCAATAATGTCCTAGATCCGCTGAATCTTTTCAGATACGATCACCGGATTGTTCTTGCGAATCTCTTCTCTCTCCATCGATTTATAATCAAAGGAACAATTGTGTGCTGTGTCATAACGATGCTCACCGCAATAAAGACCACCACAGCGGCAGACAAAACCTGTAAAGGAACATCTCTCTCTCGTGTTTAGCCCGAAACTTTATGTTCTTCAAAACGTGAAATGCAGAGTCAATGGATCAGCATATTCCACTAGTTTTGCCTCTCAAACCATAATCTGGAATGCAGTAGGCTTGCTTCTGCGATCATGTGTTTTTGCGCTAAACTTGCAGCGGTCAGAAAGTTAAAGTTTAAAACGTGGACAAATTTTGGCTGTGCTTTGGTTCTTTCATGCATACAGGTTGGGATGGTAGTGCTGCATCATGGGGTCGCGTCAACTAACAGTGTGCATGACTACATTTTTCTGCATTAAAGCCCGATCATTTTCCCGGTGAATAGCAGTTTATTGAGAAAATGCAAATTTGAAGGAAATCGGAAGAGGATTACGAAGCCTGTGAAATGTAGCCGTTTTTGAGTTTGCGATAAAATTGAGTATATGTCACATCTGCGCACAAGCGATTTCACCTCCAAGCTAAATTAAGACTATGTGAATACAGAATATTCCAGCAAGGTCTCAGGTTCGCAGCTTCCCGGATAACTGAAGTAGCCGCTTCACTACAAATATTTTTGAAGTGTAAACCGAAACTCAATTTAGGTGTACAATTTCTCATATTGGGTGTTTTTCCATAAGGATAAATATTCTGACAAAATTCCAGCTACTGCTTTCCGGCTAGTTTTCGCGTTGGTACAATGCTAACTCCGAACTTCGACGTGACCGCACGCGCGATACATGTGTGTGCGATACACGAAATTTCTAACACACAAATGCACCTCTGTATATCTAGTTCTCGGAAACACTCCCACCAATGGAATCTGTATATTCTTTCGGGGGATCATACGTGAGAGATAATGCGTAGACCCATCACGTACTGTGGGAGGATGACGCATGCAGTGGACAGCCCCAAAATTTCAACTCCCAAGCTCTTCTCGTTGCTGCGTTGAAAGTGGATGGAAAATTTCACTCGCTTCCGAACACACACACAAGTGCGAACACCCACACGCACGCATACACACAGACGACCTGTCAAAAATATGCGTTTTTGCGCGTCACATAGTAGAAGCGCATACAAATGGTCGGGCAGGTATAATTTAAGGCACTGAAAGGTTAACACTGGAAAAGCCGCCGAAAAATTGGCAAAAATACCAAACGAAAATGTAGGAAAATATTGCACGATTCACTACTGGCGCTT